GGGGGCACCTGCTCACGCCCAGGCGCAGCCCGAAAACGCGGAGATGAAAGGGCGCTGGAAGTCCCGGCCTGGTGGGGCACGGTGGGTGACACCGGACTAGAAAAGGACTCTACACGAGTGTACAGTTTACCCTTCTGTGTTTACTGATATGCCTCTCACCTTCCCTCCTAGTCTCTGAACCTTCTTCAAAAAATAAAGGAGGGGGGGGCCTTTTTCCTGGTTTTGCTGTGCAGTGAGTGGTCCAGAACAGGGGTGCGGTGTGCTTCCTTGGTCATCTTTAGCCCGAGAATAATTACCTCCTTTGTGAGGTTTGCATCTGTGAGAAGGTGGTTAGAGGGAGTGAGTACCTCCGCCTTCAGCAAAGATCTCCCTATTTAGAGTCACTTCACCGTTGGATCCAAAGGTCCTGCCCACAACTAATAATCTTGCCCTAATACAGCGACCCGAATAGCTTTCTCCCTTTAGTTCCACCTTAGAAACGGGTGCCTTAATTCCCAAGTTCCATTAGGTACACCTGGCCAGGGACCTTAGCAGTTGACTTCCTACAAGAGTTATCCTGATTAGCTTTCATCAGAAACCCTAATAATGAACCCATTATGCCTTAATTACATATAATTATATTCTTATATATACTCCAGTATGCCTTAAATCCAGAATCACACTGATGAATTTTGAATCTCTTATTTTCATTTTTTATTGTCATCCAGTTGACTGTCAACAAGTAAGACCAACCAGTAGCATTTGATAACCCAGTAAGATAGCAGTGGAAATAAATGAATGGGTTTCTGTTTGTGGCAGAGATTCTCTTGTCTTTATTCCCAGGTTTCATATAGTAAAGCATCCAGGATTTAATTTCTCTGGGAAGGAAAAAGCTCACAGTCCTATACAGAAAATTCTTCAGCTGGAAGGAGTCAGAAAGATGGATTTCCAAAGCCAACAGTCTCCTGTAACATGTGGATCTCTGCAATCAGAGTCTCATCTTTCAATTTTAGCTGTAATGGAGGAAGGAAGGGGACACATGTCATATCTGATATACCTATGTAGAGACCCCTCATTTCTTTTTTCTCTCTCTCTTTTTTTTTTTAATATATTGGGTTTTTTACAGAGAGGAAGAGAGAGGGATAGAGAGAAACATCAATGAGAAACATCGATCAGCTGCCTCCTGCACACCCCCTACCGGGGATGTGCCCGCAACCAAGGTACATGCCCTTGACTGGAATCAAACCTGAGACCCTTCAGTCCGCAGGCCGACGTTCCATCCACTGAGCCAAACCCGTTAGGGCAAGACCCCTCATTTCTAGGGCCATAGCTAAAGAACACAGTTCCTTGGGATGGAATTTGTCTATATTTCCCTATTTCATGGTAATTCCATTAAAAGACCTCAGAATTGTGCTGGTTACATGGATATTTTCACTCTATGAAAATTAAGTGGTGTGAACATTCACAGTTTGCATTCTTTGTAAAAGAACTTTAATAAAGTTTATTTTGAAAAGGTTCACATCACCCAATATACCTTGACTAATATATACTATTCCTATTTGGCAAGTGACAGAAAGGAAACAAAGACATAGATCTGAATTTAATTTTAGAATCTATGTGTAGTAGAGACATCTAGTTGCCTACCCACTATCTCCTTTCTTTACTAAAAAAGTCTTCATTACTTTTCAGGGTAGCAATGCAGCCAGCTAAAAAGCTACATTTCCTGCTTCCCTTGCAAGGGAAGTGTTTATGACCAAATTGGCCACTGAAATGCAAGTTGAAATCATTGCTCATTAAAAGGAGGTGAAATAACTAGCATGACACCTTTGTCCTTTCCTTCCATTTGGTTTTTTATTGTGCCTGAAACATGGATATAGTGGCTGGAGCTATATTGGCTGTTTTTCCACTCTGAGGGATGGGAACTATATGCTATGGTTGCTGGAGCAGAAAGGTAGAAAGAGGGTGGGTCTCTGATGCGAGCTGTGGAGCTGTGGTACCAGTTCTGAACTCTACATTAGATGAGAAAAATAAAACTCCTAATTTGTTTAAGTCTTTCAAGTGGCTTATAATTCATAAGTGATGGGAGTTGGCAGACCACTGCTCATGAGCCAAATCTAGCACTCTTCCTGTTTTTGTAAATAAAGTTTTATTTGAGCCCTAGCCGGTTTGGCTCAGTGGAGAGAGTGTCAGCCTGTGGACTGAAGGGTACCCGGTTGGATTCTGGTCAAGGGCACATGCCCAGGTTGTGGGCTCAATCCCCAGTAGGGGGCGTGCAGGAGGCAGCTGGTCAGTGATTCTCTCTCATCATTGATGTTTCTATCCCTTTCTCCCTCTCCCTTCCTCTCTGAAATCAATACAATTTTTAAAAGTTTTATTTGAAACACACCCATGTTCATTTGTTTATGAATTATTTATGGCTGCTTTTTCACTACAAGTCAGAGTGTAGTAGTTTCAATAGAGACTGTTTGGCCCACAAAGCCTAAAATATTTCCTATTTTGCCATTTACAGGGAAAATTTGTTGACTCCTAGCTAGACCAATACCTTCATTTTACACATGAGGAAATGAGGCCCAGAGAGGTTAACACAGTATGTTAATGGCAAAACTAGAACCATAATTCAGGTCTACTGACTCCCTGGCCATCTGTCTTTCCATTAACCCATATTCTCTAAAAAAATAAAAAAAGATCCCCCATGGGGCACTCTCCCTCCAGGGAGCATGCCCATGCCATCCCCTTCCCTCCTCCTTCCCCCATAGGCATGTATCTCCTAAACTTCAAGGGACCACGGGAGACTTGCAACCAGGGGAGCAATGAGCAGCAGCAGCCTGTCCTGGGCTAACTCCCCGAACCTGTCTCCAAGGCCCCCTTTTCTCTGACTTCCCAGTGAGCCAAGGCAGCCCAGCGTAGGCCCTCTGGTTGCTTCTTCTATGCCCTTCTTTGTTTCACTATTCTAAGTGTGTTTTTGCTGCAGTCCATAAATTCTTGCTTGCTTTACTATCAAGAAGAAAAAAAAGAGACCCCACCCCCATGTAATATGTGGGTTATTCCTACAAACCCAGAAGCCCTATGATGATGGGAAAGATGGTAAGAAAAGCTTCTAGAAAAATATTCACATCAAAAAATGCTAAAAAGTTCTGAGTTAAACTAGTACCTTCCTCTTAGTTTCTTAACCTCAGTACAGTGCAGACAAACAGCAGAGGCATCTGCATATCATACCTTCATCGTGTACTTGTAGGCTTGCTCAGCTTCCAGTTGCCGTCCAGCCTGAAAAAAAGAGGAGCAGCTGGTGACAATGATATCCCAAAACATGATGATGGCAAAGTCCATTACCAAAAACTTCTACTTGAAGCAGAGGAGTCCATACCTTCTTAGTTAGGAAACTGTGAATTTACAGGTGAAGCAGGAAAATGAAAGGTGGTAGGAAAAAGCACATATAAGATATACATCTCTTTTTTTATTTCAAAATCTTAAAGATAACTTGGCCTTTCATTTTTTTTTTTCTGAAAGCACCATGAGTCATTTGTTCCTCTCATGATTGAAGCCATCCAGTTAATAAGAACTAACACATATAGTGTTTACTTTGTGGTTTAAATTGTTCATATTGTTTTAAGTGCTTTACATACTTTCATCTTGATCCTCAAAACAACCCTAGGAGATAACTATTTATAATTCCCAGTTTACAGATAGAAAAATCTGGGCACAGAGAGGATAAATAACTTGCAGATTATGAAGCTAATAAGTGGAGGAGCCAGATTTTAAGATAATTTAGTCTGGCACCAGAGTCTAAGTTTTTAACTTTATCTTGTCTCTGTGCATTAGAAAAAGCAGATACTGGAATTACTTCCATGCAGAGCTGGATATGAGATGAGAACACTACTCCCAGTTATTCTTACATGAAGGAATTAAATGAGAATAATATGAATTCACTATTATACTTCACAAGTTTGTGCATAACAAATTAGAGTATGGAAAGTCACTTGGGAAAGCTTAAATACATAAATATGAATGCTCAGGCTAGAAAGGAACTTAGAGAATATCTAGTCCAATTTCCATTGATTTTTTTTTATTTTTTTTTTTTAGAGAAAGAGATTAAAAGGGAGGGAGGAGGGAGAGACAGAGAGAAACATCGATGTGAGAGACACACAGATTGGTTACCTACCACACATGCCCTAATGAGGGCCAGGGATCAAGCCTGCAACCAACACTGAGCCAAACCAGCTAGGGCTAATTTCCTTTTTTTTTTTTTTAATTTTTTTTATTGATTTCAGAGAGGAAGGGAAAGAGAGATAGAAACATCAATGATGAGAGTCATTGATTGGCTGCCTCCTGCATGCCCCCTACTGAGGATTGAGCCTGCAACCCAGATATGTGCCCTTGACTGGAATCGAACCCAGGACCCTTCAGTCCCCAGGCCGACGCTCTATCTACTGAGCCAAACCAGCTAGGGCTAGGGCTAATTTCTTGATTTAACTGCTTAATCCATTGATATTTCAGTTCTCTTTTCTAAAGTATGTATTTAAGGCTATAAATTACCCTCTCTATATTGCTTTAATTCCATATTTCTAACATATAATACTTTGTTTTTATTCAGTCCCATTTCAATTATCTATTGAAGTGTAACAAGCCATCTCAAAACTTAATGGTTTAATACACAATATATTAAATTGTGTATTCCTCACAATTCTATGGGCTATCTGGACCATTCTGCTGATTTTCCTGGGTTCATTCATGCAGTTGTAGACATCTGACAATTTGGTTAAGGGCTGGGGGGCTAAGATCTCACTCGAAGAGTGAGGTTGGCTGTTGACCAGGGTGCTTCAGTTATCCTCCAGGTGGACTTTGAGCCTCCTATAGGCTAAATTGGGTTTCTTCACAGCATGTGGTCCCAGGGTTTCAAGAGAGCAAGAGTAGTAGCTACAGGATCTTTAAAGGCCTAGTCTCTGAGGACTTACACAATGTCACTTCCATCATATTCTACTGATCAAAGTAATTCACAAGTGCAGCTCAAATTCCAGGGAGTGGAGAATGAGGAGACATTACCTCTTGATGGGAAAAATGGCATTACATTACAAAGGGGTGTACATGAAAGCGTAATTAAATAGGAGACATTATTATAAAAACCTACTGAAAGGCCTGCATTATTTTTCTACAGCCGTGTAACAAATTACCACAAATTAAGTGGCTTAAAACAATAGCCACTTATCATCTCATAATTTCCACTAGTCAGAAGTCTGGCATGGCTCAACCGGTTCTCTGCTTAGGGTCTCACGAGGCCAAAATCAAGGTGTCAGTGAGGGTGGGTTCTTATGTGGAATCTACTCGCAACCTCATTCAGGTTTTTGGCAGAATTCAGTTCCTTGTACTTGCAGGATGGAGGTCCCCATTGCCTTACTGGCTGTGAGCAGGGAATGCTTTCAGCTTCTGGAGGCCACCCACATTCCTTGATGGTTCCTCTCCATCTTTAAGGCAGCAATTGTGTGTTGAATCTTTCTTGGGCTTTGAATCTCTCTGACTTCCCTTCACAGCAGTACCTATATTAGTATTTGATGTAATAATCTTGAGAGATCATCTTCAGAATTCTACCTACCACAAGACAGTATCATGATTTACTCTTTGACTCATGAATTAATTACAAACATGTTTTAAGTTTACAAATGTATGAGTCTTTTGGCCTATCTTTTAATTGTTGCTTTATAATTTTATTGCAGTGTGATCTACATGCATTTGTTGAGTCTGTCATTGTGGTCTAGCATATGTATAATTAATTCATTTGTGATTGAAAAGAATATGCATTCTCTACTTGTTGGGTGCAGAGTTCTATGTTGTTTGAGCTCAACATTGTTAACTGCCCCCCCCTTTTTTTCTCATCCTCATCTGAGGGTATGCTTTTTTTAGAGAGAGGAAATGAGAAAGAGAAACATTGATTGAACTCCCAACATAGGTATGTGTGCAACCTAGGTATGTGCTCTGACTGGGAATCCAAGATGCAACCTTTTTTTGTGTGTATGGGACGATGCTCCAACCAACTGAGCCACCTGGGCAGGGCACCTTGTTGTTTTATTGAAATCTCACATACCTTTAATTTTTTCCTATTTGATCTATCAGTTTTTGCAAGAAATGTATTAAAATCTTCCATTTTGACACGTTTAGTTTAAAGATGAAGAAACTGCCTGGCCAGTATGGTTCAGTGGTTGAGCATTGACCTATCAACCAGGAGATCAGGGTTCGATTTCCGGTCAGGGCACATGCCTGGGTTGCAGGTTCAATCCCCTGTGTGGGGTGTGCATGAGGCAGACAGTCAATGAGTCTCATCATTGATGTTTCTATCTCTCTCCCTCTCTGAAATAAATAAAAAATATATTTTTTAACAAATAAAATAATAAAGATGAAAAAACTGAGGCCCAGTAAGTGTAAGTGACTTGCCCAGGATTTCACAGCCAATTGTGACAGAGCTGGGGTAAGAATACAGGTATTTTTTTTTTTTTCAAAATATATTTTATTGATTTTTCACAGTGAGGAAGTGAGAGGGATAGAGAGTTAGAAACATCGATGAGAGAGAAACATCGATCAGCTGCCTCCTGCACACCCCCCACTGGGGATGTGCCCGCAACCGAGGTACATGCCCTTGATCGGAATCGAACCCGGGACCCTTGAGTCCACAGGCCGACGCTCTATCTACTGAGCCAAACTGGCCAGGGCAGAATACAGGTATTTTCATGTTGATATTCAGGAACAGAAGATCCAGTAATTTTTATTTTGTTCATTTCTCTTACAATCAAAATACTCCCTATCAGTTTGGTGTCATATTGGCTAATAGAAAAACTGAGGGACAATCTCATTCCAAATTTGACTTTAGACCGATGTGTAAGTCTTTTAAGCAAGTTATTTAATTTTGGGAGAGTTATTTTCTATAGGTAAAGCAGCTATCACAAACTTTCACAATACTCCTACCAAATTTTCCATCTATATCAAGGATAAACACCTCAGCCAGCAGTTCAACATGAAGGAATGGTTCAAAAAGACTAGTAGAATTTCTCCTTCACTGTTCTTGACTTTGTTTACATTCTGATTTAATATCACTTCCATCTTTTAAAGAAGGTTAACTTTAAAAAATGTTTTTATTGATTTCAGAGAGAAGAAGGGAAAGGCAGAGAGGGGTAGAAACATCAATGATGAGAGAGAATCACTGACCAGCTGCCTCCTGCACACCCTCTAATGGGAATTGAGCCCACAACCCAGGCATGTGCCCTGACCGGAAATCAAACCCATGACCTCCTGGTTCATGGGTCGACACTCAGTCACTGAGCAACCAGCCAGGCATCACTCCCATTTTTAAAAACTTATTTATTTTTTTGAAATGAAAACTATAGTAATGAAAAAGGAACTCAGGAATGAGGTTGTTAAATACATTTAAAATAAAAATACCATGTATTTCCTGATTAGAATCAGGTAAATAGCTAAACTATCTATCCTGAATTCTGGTCTCAAATAAAACAAAGTTAGAGACAATTACAAAGAAGATGAATCACAGTATCAGGTTCATTTTTAAAACAATGGAATCTTTGAGTCAATCATGTAGTCTATCAGAGGTATCTGTTGGTCCTTTTGTTGGTAGTCCATATTTATCTACACCCTAATGGCCTAGTTTGCTTTTATTTTTATCATTGGATTCTTATCTAGGTTTTCTAGGACATACATAACTTACAACGAAGGCAATCAGAGGGTATATGTATGGCTCCAGGAATTTTTTGTAGATCCAGAGCATAACTGGATGACTATACGAGTAATACATACTATTGTCCCAGGCTTGAGCTCCTAAACATGAGAGCACAGACAGGTGGGGAGAGGTACCCAGCAGGGAAAAGGAGAAAGGCTCACTGACCCCAAGTCTAATCTGCTGTCCAACTGCACTGTCAGCCACTGCCCTTGCACAGCTCCCCATTCAGTGTTCCCAACCCCAACCCTAGGCCAGGCCACACACTGCGCTGGGCCTGTGGAGTAGCTTGAAAGTGCTACAGGGAGCCTCCCCCACCCAGAATTCTTGCCCAGAGTCAGCCCTGGCCCACCCTACTCCTGCTCACCCACAACCACCACGTCCACATGGCCCACTTCCATTTTTAGAATCTCCTTTCCAGACAAACATACCTGAGTATATAATTTTTAAGCACACTTCAAGTAAAGGCTTCCCAGACTTGGCCTCTCCTTGGTCATTCATATAATGATCAAATCTGAAGCTGATCAAACCTCAACTGTCATGCATTAATGGCCATCCCAATTATCTCTTCTTTTATTTAGTTCCTTATCTCTTTGCCTAAGAGGGCATTGTAAAAGGATAGCAAGCACTCACTTTCAGGCTGACCAGGGCCAGATATGCCCATACTTCAGCATTGTTGTTGTTCAATGCATTGGCTTCAGAGAGAGCATCCTCTGCCTCCGAGATCTCCTCCAGCTTGACAAAAAAAGATGTATGAGTTGTTAAGTCAATATAGTTTTGGTTTTTTTAATATATTTTTTATTGATTTTTTACAGAGAGGAAGGGAGAGGGATAGAGAGTTAGAAACATCGATCAGCTGCCTCCTGCACACCCCCTACTGGGGATGTCCCGCAACCAAGGTACATGCCCTTGACCGGAATCGAACCTGGGACCTTTCAGTCCGCAGGCCGACGCTCTATCCACTGAGCCAAACCAACTAGGGCAAGTCAATATAGTTTTTACTTAAGTCAGCTGAGTCAGCTTAGCTGAAAATACTATGTCCAAATAACATTGGTGTACATGGCCTATACCAATGGCTTTCAACCTTTTTTTTTTTTTAAGCAACAGAATTTTTTTTTCAAACAAAATCCTGGGTGGTGGCCCAATATATAAACCAGTTAAAAGTAAAACTGCTCTGCTTAAAAAGCCAGGTAGGGGAATCTGGAGCCCTGCTTTCTAGGCTTTCTTCCTCTTTCCTCTACAGCAGTCCCAGCAGGGCATCCATGAACCGTGGAGCTTCGGTGGCAGGGTTGGGAAACCAGAAGTATTTACTGTTGTGTGTGCATCATTCAGTGATTTCCCCATACACAATGGGCTATCAGATACATTTGTAGTTTTTCCCTTTACATCCTACATCCCTTTCTTAAGGTAAAAGTCCTGTCAAAATACTATCATTCAGAAAGCTTCCTTTCCCCTGAAATTAGTTATTAACACCACAGTCTTGAACAATCAATACAATACTCAGTGACTCTAGGGTGCTTCCTGAGCTCTGGCTACATGGATATCATTTTTGCTTCCTAAAACTGTGAATTTGCTTTGTAAAATCTTCCAAAAGGCCAGCCAAGGAAAGAATAAGGAACTCCTTTCCCCAATAAAATAGATCTTCATAGTTTCTGCTTCAGAAGATAATGGATTTCTAGGCCCAAGACAATATGAAGAATGACCTTTCAGCAAATCCTATACCTTGGCCTACATTTTAAATGTCTCTGAAATACTGATTCATTATTTATTCAACATATATGTCCTAAGGATTTACTCTCTGTCAGGCAGCATGTTAGATACTGGGAATACAAACAGTTCACTACAGGAGGGAAAGAGGAGGTGGGAAAAACTCAAACACATAAATAGTTCCAATACAGAATAAACATTTCTAATAATAAAAGCACATATATTTTCTAGTGGAGGGACAAAGGAAAATAGTGATAATTCTATCCTGAGAATAAAGGATACTCTCAGAAGAAACATTACTAAAGTAAATCTTGAAAGATAAATAGGAGTTTGTTAACTGTACAAGGTGAAGAAAGGCATTCCAGGTAAAAGGAATACTATATATAAATAATGGCATCTCAGAAAACTCTTAAATATGCCTGGAGAGAGAGAGAGAGAGAGGAGAGAGGAGAGAGAAAGTGGTAAGACTAAAGGGTTTGGCAGAGACCAGATCATATTACCAGGTAGTCTAACCTCTTTCAAACATTAAGCAGTGGTTCTCAACCTTCCTAATGCTGCAACCCTTTAATACAGTTCCTCATGTTGTGTTGACCCCCAACCATAAAATTATTCTCATTGCTACTTCATAACGGTAATTTTGCTACTGGTATGAATCGCAATATAAATACTGATATGCTATATGTGTTTTCCAATGGTCGCAACCCATAGGTTGAGAAACGCTGCATTAGAGAGAAGGAAAGAAGGGTTGCTCTGGAGTTTCAGGGGTGGTAGAGCAAAGAGTGCAAAGGCCTACCCGAAGCTGTAGCAGCTACTCCTGCATATGAAAAGGCACAGAACTTAATAAATATCAACCAATTTCTTTAATTAAATAGATTCTTTATATCCCATATTACTTTTTTTCTTATAGATAATATTATAAAACTAGAAGCCCAGTGCACGAATTCATGCATGGGTGGGGTCCCTCAGCCTGGCCAGCAATTGAGGCCTATCAGGGTCCAGCCAGGAGGGGGCAGGGGGCAGGGCCTCCGGGAGGTTGGCTAGCCAGGAGGAGGGACCATGGGAGGTTGGCTGGCTGGCCCCCTGATTGGGACTGATGCGGAGGCCGGCCAGGCTGGGGGGGAAGGGAGGGTCACGGGAGGTTGTTTGTGGGAGTGCACTGACCATCAGGGGGCAGCTCCTGCATTGAGCATCTGCCCCCTGGTGATCAGTGTGTATCACAGCGACTGGTCGACCGGTTGTTCTGGTCGTTCGGTTATAACAGTCACTTAGGCTTTTATATGTATAGATTATGAGCTTCTTTACCAAATAACATGAAATTTTTATTATATAGCTTCCTAGTTCAGGTTTTTGTGGGATTTTTCTACTTCAGATTGACCTTCAGTTTACTAAACTGCTTTGAAGAGCAATTTTGCATTAGAGAAAACTGCCCTGATTGGCATTTCACTGTCATCCCAGGGTGCTTGAAAGACCAAGGGATCAAGGTCAGCTCTATGCACAGGGTTAGTATCAAGCCCTCACCCTCTTACCCGATAACAGGCAATTCCCAGTCCCAGCCAGGTAAGGCATGAAGGTGATCTCTTACAGGCTTGCAGGTAGGTTTTCTTTGCCTTTTCATACTGTAGAAAGAAAGCACCCCTAAACTATTGTTCTTTTAGAAGCATCAAACACTGCATTGCTATGATAATTACGGTGCTTCTGCAGTTGATCTCCAGACCAATCTAAGTCCAATGAAGTTATATGTTTTTCTTAAAACTTAATTGGGAGGGGGAAGTTTTAGGTTCACAGCAAAATTGAAAGCTCAGAGATTCCCCAAATATATGATCTAGTGGAGGGACAAAGGATAATTGGCCATCTAAATCCTGTGTGGTGGCCCAATATATAAACCAGTTAAAAGTAAAACTAGTTTTACTTTAGCCTCCCCCACTACCAACATCCCCCAGCAGACTGGTACATTTGTTACAACTGACAAACCTACATTGACACTTCATCATCACCCAAAGTCCATAGTTCACCTTAGGGTTCACCCTTGGTGGTGTACATTCTATGGGTTTGAACAAATGTGTAATGACATATGTATATCCCTCATTAGAGTATTTTTTCTGCCCTAAACATTCTCCGTGCTCCACCTCTTCATCACTCCCCTTCCCCAACTCCTGGAAACCATTGATCTCTTTACTCTCTCTATAGTTTTACCCTTTTCAGAATGTCATACAGTTAGAATCATGTAGTATGTAGACCTCTCAGATTGGTTCCTTTCACTTGGTAATATGCATTTAAGGTTCCTTTGTATTTTTTCATGGCTTGATAGCTTATTTCCTTTTAGCGCTAAGTAGTATTCCATCGTCTGGATGTACCACAGATTATTTATCTATTCACCTACTGAAGGACGTCTTTTGTTGCTTCCAAGTTTTTCCCATTATGAATCAAGCTACCATAAACACCTGTTTGCAGATTTTGTGTGGATATAAGTTCTCAATTCCTTTGGGTAAATATTTAGGAGAACAATCGTTGCATGGTATGGTAAGAATATTTTTAGTTTTGTAAAATATCACCTAATTGTCATCCAAAGTGGCTGTACCATTTTGCATTCCCACCAGCAACAAATCAGAGTTCCTGTTGCTCTACATTCTTGTCAGTGTTTGATGTTGTCGGTGTTCTAGATTTTGGCCAGATTTGGGTGTGTAGTGGTATTTCATTTTTTTAATTTGCATTTCCCTGATGACATATTATGTGGAGCATCTTTTCATATGCTTATTTGTCACCTACATATCTTCTTTGGTGAGGTATCTTTAAGATCTTTCACCCATTTTTAAATCAGGTTATTTTCTTATCATTGAGTTTTAAGACTTCTTCATATATTTTAGATAACAGTTCTTTATCAAATATGTCTTTTGCAGGTATTTTTCTCCCAGTTTGTGGTTTGTCCTCTCATTCTCTTCATATTGTCTTTTGCAGAGCTTAAGTTTTTCATTTCAATGAAGTCTAACTTAAAATCTTTCTTTCATGGATCATGCCCTTGGTGTTGTACCTAAAAAGTCAGAACTATTCCCAATGTCATATAGGTTTTCTTCTATATTCTAGGAGTTTTATAGTTTTGCATTTTACATTTATTCTATGATTCATTTTGAGTTAATTTTGAAGGTATCAGGTCTTGTGTCTAGATTTATTTTTTTGCATATGGGTATCCAGTTGTTCCACCACCATTTGTTGAAAAGATTTTCTTTGCTCAATTGTATTGCCTTTGTTCCTTTGTCAAAGATCAGTTGACTATATTTATGTGAGTCTATTTCCAGGCTCTCTCTTCTGTTCCATTGATCTGTTTGCCTATTCTTTCACTTTTACCACCCTGTCTTGATTATTGTTCTAGTTTATAGTGTGTCTTGTAGTCAGGTAGGGGGTCAGTCCTCTACCTTTGTTCTTCTCTTTCAATGTAGTACTGGCTATTCTGGGCTTGCATTGTATTGTATGTCTATTTTCAGGGAAATATTACAAGAAGACTGGTGAGAGGAGAAGGAAAGACTAAATTAAAGGGCAAACTTTGCTGTGAAAGCAGTTCCAAAAACATTTATAGTCTCTTTAAGAGTTGAGGCAAGGAGTTACACAGAAAATTCTGGGTGATCACAGTGATTACCAGAATTCCACCTAGATTTTATGGATTACCCCTTTTTGCTTAAAAGTGACATCATGTGGTAGGATGATAGATACAGAATCTCTGAACTAAGGATTTTACTTGATAGAGCCTCATTATTCTGAGAGTCTGCTCCCTTATTATAAAACGTCTTAGAAGCTTTCGGTAGTACAGGAGACATTTAGAAAAACTAAAAATAAAAAAAATTTAAAAAAGTAGTAGGCCCCAAAGGACCACTTTTTGTTCTGTATCTTCAGTGTGAGAGATGGAACTATAGCTGAGCTTCAGCAAATAGCCTATGAACTCCTTGCCTAGTGACTGCATAAGTCAGCAGTTCTGTGACGATGCAACTTGCAATGACATCAGAAAGCTTTCTATTATTTACTTCACTGTAATTTTTCCCTTTTAAACCTATGTGAGCTTTCCTACTTAAATTATAAGGCATTGTAACTTCTTGTTGCTGTTGTTTAATTTTAAATATAAAGAAAACTAGGTATTCGGGGGGTGGGAGTGGGGTCAGGGGGAAGATGGAATAAAGTAAAAACAAAAGCACAGAATCAAAAGGCCTTTGGGAGAATGTTGATAATTGTTGAAATGGGATGATGAGTCCATGTTGGTTCATTCTACTAATCTGTTTACTTTGTGTGTATTTGAAATTTTCCATAAAAGAACGTTTCTTTTAGAAAGCTTTGGGTATTTCCTAAAATATGGATAGGAATTACTAAAGAGTCAAGTCAGAGTACCCTGTGAAACGGGATTAGCCTCAGCTGAATTAAATATAATCCTTTGTGTTGAGGAGAAAGTTTCGAGGATTTATTTTAAAGCCCATAACACTTTTCATTAGTTAAAGCAAGATGAGAATATTTCCACTACTGCTAACAAAGAAAAATAGCTAAAATCATAGCTAAAATAAAATTTATTGAGTTTTTTCATCTTTATTGTTGAAAGTATTACATAGGTCCTCCCCCCCACCCCCCGATTAACCTCTTCCAACCCGCAAATTTATTGAGTTCTTAATAACTTTAGTGTTGTAATGGTTAAAACCACAGACTAGTATGAGACTGCCTTGTTTAAATCCTGTTTCTATTAATTGCTGGTTATCTGATGTTGGGCAAGCCACTTTACCTTTCAATGTAAAAGTGCCACTGTCATATTACTATTGTTAGTCCACAGGGATGTTAACACTTGACTAGTCAGGTCCCAGACCATGACCCGATTTACATGGTTACTCCCCGTCCTCTATCCCTCACCTCTTTCTCTTCCAGATAGATGTGCCCCAGTCGCAGGAAGATGAAGTGCATCTCAGAAGCATCCACTACAAAACTAATGGTTCTCTCATAGCATGCCTTGGCCTCAGCATGATCTCCTCTCAGAAAATAGAGATGGCCCTTCAGACCCCAGACGTTAGGGTTCTGAAAAAGGAAAGAACAAGTCGTACATGGGATGAGGTGGCATTTAAAAGTACATTAATGAGCTCTGTCTAACATTTAAATGTAGGTTACATCTGTTTTCCTTTTCTAGCACAGTTAGAAAGAGGGCCCCCTTCAGTTGCACTGAAAGAGATTCTTCTAGGTCTGCCCTCTCACTTCTTTCTTGCATTCTTCAAAGCTATTTTTGTCTTTGGGGTAAATATTAAGAAAAACAGTGAAGCATACAATGGTAGGGTTCACAATGAGAAAAACAGAAGTCCAAAAAAACTTGAATAGATAAACTATCTGCGAATGAGCTGTCCTTCCTTATCTTTTCTCTGCCCTTTGCAAAACTCATGAGTGCTTAAGAAAAACAAATGGAAGGAAATAGATGAGTTAACTGACAAATGATGACCCCACCCCTCTCGTGTAACCAGAAATCTACCTGTGATATAGCAACACCACCTCTAAGAAAGCCTGCTGACCCCTTGTCCAAACTAAACTCAAGAGGCTCTAGCAAAAGTTATTACCAGGTAGTCCATCTGGGCTGCTTGTTGAAGGCATTCCTCTACCTTGACAAAGTCCTTCTTGAGAAGGTGTGTCTGAGCCAGCACCAAGTAATACTCACAGCTGGGGCCTCCTTGTGGACATAACAGCTCATGTGCAAGGACTCTGTGCACATACTGCAAAAAATCAGATTATAAGGGACATGTAAATGGCTGCACTATGTCAGTTCCATAGCTCGTATGGTCGAAGGCTCTGTTTCTGATAATAAGTAATAAGGAACATATTACAGAATGAAATGATTATCCATTTCAAAAGGTTAGAGGTGAATTATAAACATTCAGCACATCATGGTTCCATTACCAGTTATTCACTTAGTCACAAATGTAGACTTTTTCAAGTGAATAATCAGCAATATTATACAATGCTAGTCATACTAGATGGGTTTTAACTTGTAATCTGTTATGCAATGGACGAAGACACTTCATTTACATTTATTCATGAGGTAACATTTTCAGGCAGCTGTAATTGTAAGGAAATTTAAAGTGAGGCAAAAACCTCCCTTTCTAAAATTCTAGACTTAGGATATTGGAAACAGTGTGTCTGTTTCTGGCACACTCTCAAACATTTGTTATGTTCATAAGTTTTTAGTTAGAGCTATTCTTTATTTTTAGTACTATACAAGGCCTGCAAATTTGACAAAATCACATTGACTGGCTAAACAGAGGGGGAAACCCTTCTTTTCTCTCCCCTTTGCTCCTATCTCAGTCTAGTAGTTGCACCAGTTAATAATGCGGATTTTGTAATCAAAGACGACACGATAATTTCAAGAGAAACATCAAAAGTGCTTTATTCAAAGTAATGTCCATGGCTCGCTACACATTTCCCCCATCTTTAGGTAATTTGTGGATACCATTCCAATAGAACTTTTCTTGTTTTGACGCAAACCATTCAGTGACCCAATTTTCCACTTCTTCGTACGTTTTGAAGTGCTGCTCAGAAAGTGCATGTGCCATCGATCAGAACAAGTGGTAATCTGAAGGAGCAAGGTCTGATGAATACAGAGAGAGGGTGGGTTAATACTTCCCTGGCAAGATCTTTTAATGTGTCTTTAACCGGTTTTGAAGTGTGTGATGGTGCATTATCATGAAGCAAAATTACTTTGCCGTGTCTTCTGGCACATTCTGGTCATTTCATGATCAAAGCATGGTTCAAATTGATTACAATGGGGCCTTGACTTACGAGTTTAATTCATTCCGAGACCGAGCTCGTTAAGGAGCTCGTTAACTCAAATTACTCTATCAACTCAATGCAAAAAATCGGCCGAGAGACAGCTGGTATCTC